ATGTATATATATATATATATATATATATATATATATAATGTGGTACTCTCCAGGGATCAGTTTAGGTTTTATAATTTGATCATTCATGAATACTTTCTCTTTATGTTCTATGCTGCCCTCTTGTGCTGGAACATGTGGATTACTCTGTGCTATGTCCTTGTTACCATATATTGGTCAATCTGTTTTTAACCATTCAGCTAATATATCAAGTCTGATTGCATTGTGTAGAATAATAATTGATTAATTGCCACTGTTATTTATTTGTTTTTGTTTTTTTTGCAGGCGCCTTCCATGTATGCACCTCTTCCATCAACTGTGTGTAGACCAATGGCTCCTCACTAACAAGAAATGCCCCATCTGTAGAGTGGACATCGAGGCTCAGTTATCTTCAGAGAGTTGATGCTATTTTTCTTGCAACCCTTTTGTTGGACATTCATTTTTTTGTTTGTTTTCCTTTTCATTTTTGTCAGTAATGCATTCAACCAAAGATGGCATGAAATACCTGCGCAACTATGGGAAAAAAAGAAAAACCACAATCCACAAAAAAAGCATCAAGCCTAGCGTGCCAGCTATCATGTAGTAACAGTACAGCTAGAAATAACATCATTAAGGGTTTTGAATTGTATTTATAAAGGGTTTATGTAGCTTTTGTTTCATAAGTGTCATTGTATTTTATTTTTGCATGGTTCCTTGCAATGCATTTCTTTGCACATATAATGAAATAGGCCTCATAAGGCCTGTGAACTTGCAGGCAAGGATTGCTGCTCTAGTAAAGAAGCATTTTTACATACCTGATGCCTTGCTTTACTGGAATAGAATGTCAACCTCCATTTTAAAACATTGCAGGACTCAATTTATTGATCAGTATATTGATTAGTTTTATGTTTTAGACAATGTGATCCAAAATAGATTTTTTAAATGTCAAGACATTCCTTAATTAGGAAACAAGATCATGGTTAAGAGATCAGCTGCTGTAACAGTGTTCACTCTCACACCAATTCACTCTCAACACGGGAACCTGGGCTGGAGCCCGTTCCATTTCATTTCGGATCAGTACCAGGGCTAACTCTATTCGGGACGTTAATTTAAAAAGCATATGGAAATGCTTCTTGTACATTTAATTTTAAATGTATATGCATTAGGTCCTGAACTGATGGAATTGAAATGAATTCAGCTCCAGGCCTGATGAGAACCAACTGCACACTTCACCTCTTTGAACGTTCACATGGTTGTGTTCCATCGGACCCCTCTCAGCACCTCAATCTGACGTCACATGTAACACACTTCACCTAATGTATTTTCAAAGAGAAGAGAAAGAAAAAAAATGAATGTCACCTCTCTGTATTCTGATTGTTGTTTTTGTAATATAATGAAGTTGGATTTTTGATTGAGCAATTGAGTGTAATTCCTCAGACAAGCTCCATATGTTGACTTGGTTCTGTGAAGATGACAGGGCTGAAGAAACAGTTGGGAAACTGATATTTATTGTTTCATCAGGGTCTCCTAGCCTTCATTTAGCTCTCTCAACCTAGAAAGTGACTCTTGTTAGCTGCTTATTCCTTCTCAGATATTGTCATTAACACATTTGTTCTGAAACTGTGCAGCAAACTGTTTTCCCCCTTTTTTTCCTCTCTTTTTTCTTTTTCTTTTTCTTTTGCTGCTGTGAAATCCTAACACTAATATTAATCTCAACTAGCAAACTTGCATATACTTGCACATGAGAGACAAAAGACAGGAGTGCTGTGAGAATGAGAATGTGCTGAGGTGTGTATTTCCACTCTTGATTGCAGAATTTTAAGGAAAAACTGTAATAATTTTGAATGGAGTGTTGGAATGCAGTACTTAATGGCAGGCGCCCATGCATTCATAGAGTTAATGGCCCCAGGATGATATTCCATGGGATTTATATTAGTTTTAAAATAATGAAATAAAGTTAGGTAACTCTTTTATGTGTCCATTCTTGTGCCTCCTTTAACCTGAAACCCTTTAGAAGAATTTTCTATCTATAGGGAACTATAGTTTCCATCAAATTGCTGTGGTAGCTGTATAATTGGTTTTAGACACTACTGTCATAACCTCATTCCAAATATCTTGTATACTTAACAAATATACTGTATGTCATTCTCTTATTTACAGCAGTTATGAACTACACAACTCAGAACGTATTATTGATAGATTGAGACTAATTATATTCATATTTTATCTGATAAACCTGCTTTTTTAAAATTTTACTTCTAGTAGTAGACAAGAAAATGGTGTGGTTGTTTTTATACAATAATGCTGCTCGCATCTCAGCTTGTCTAACAGACATTTCTTGCTGGATGAAGGACCATCACCTTTGACTCAACCTTGCCAAGACAGAACTTGTGGTTCCAGCAAACCCATCGTTTCATCACAATTGCACCATCCAGTTAGGCACATCAACCATAACTCCTTCAAAAACTGCCAGAAACCTTGGAGTTATGATTGATGATCAGCTGACTTTCTCAGACTTTCTCACATTGCTAAAACTGTCCAGTCCTACAGATTTGCTTTATTCAACATCAAGAAGATCAGGCCCTTTCTTTCGGAACATGCTTCACAACTCCTTGTTCAAGCTCTTGTTCTGTCTAGGCTGGACTATTGCAATGCTCTCTTGGCAGGTCTTCCAGCGAGTTCTATCAAACCTTTACAATTAATCCAGAACGTGGCATCAAGATTAATGTTTAACCAGCCGAAAAGAATGCACGTCACACCTCCGTTTATCAGTTTGCACTGGCTACCAATAGCTGCTCACATTCAAGGCATTAATGTTTGCCTACAAAACCACCACTGGCTCTGCACCCCTTTATTCATTACTTCAGACTTATGTGCCCTCTAGAAGCTTGCATTCTGCAAGTGAACGACGCTTTATTGTGCCATCTCAAAGAGGCACAAAATCACTTTCTCGGAATTAAATGTTCCCACTTGGTGGAATGACCTGCCCAACTCAGTCCGAGCAGCTAAGTCCTTAGCCATCTTCAAGAATCGGCAAAAAAACACATCTGTTCCATCTTTATTTAGCACTTAACTCTAGCACTCTATTCTAATTCTATTCTTAAAAAAAAAAAACACTTGTCCCTTTTAGGCTTGCACTCTATTCATTTGCTGCTTGTTTCTTTAAAAAAACTAACACTTGCTTTCTAATCTTTTTGTATTCTATCTGTTTTCATTTCATTTATTATACAATTAACAAAAGCAAAAAAGACCTAGCTTGCTCTATTCTTTTTCTATTCTGTTTTCTTTTTATTTATTACATTATTTAAAAAACCCTTGCTACGTGTACTGCGTTAAGCTAACTGAGACTTGTTATAGCACTTGTATATCATTGCTCTTTTGTTGATTTTGATTGCTTCCATTGTCCTCATTTGCAAGTCGCTTTGGATAAAAGCGTCTGCTAAATGACTAAATGTAAATGTAAAATATATATAGTCTTGTTTTTACAAAAACCGCAACATTTTTAAATATAATGCACCATTGAATGCACGATAAATATCAGCACCGCATCAGTTTTCCGAAATAAACAGTGCTAGCTTCGCGCATGCTCAGTATCTCCAGCTCATCGGTTCTTTGTCGAACGTGTTTGAAAGAAACGGATCTCGGTTCAGTGTACTGGTGGTGATTCGAGAACTGTTGACTCCGAGAGCCGCTGTAGCAGACAGGACCGCTCGGTAGTACACGCATGCTCAGTATCAGCTGCTCGTGCTCATCGGTTCTCTCAGTCTGCAGTGCACAGCATGTTTCAGTGTCTGTTGGAGTAACAGGAGTAACGTATACTCCGGCATATTGGTTTATTTCGAGTCGTAGGGATTGTCAGGCATGTCCGAAAGTGAGAAACTTTAGAAAACTGGATCAGTGCTGGCTCGAGACGCGAACTGTTTCGAACGATTCATCCATTTGGTGAACTGGTTCAGCCGGTTCAAAAGAACGATTTGTTCTCGAACCGAACATCACCAACAGTTACGCAGGTAAAATGGCGTCGGAGGCCATTTCAGCGGAGTCTAAGAAGATTACAGATTTACGTGTGGTAGACCTCAAATCCGAACTCAAACGTAGGAATTTGGATGTTACTGGGGTAAAAAATACACTCGTCGCAAGACTGAAGCAGGTAACTTGAATTTAAAACGGTAAATTACGGTGGCGTGTGGACAAATGCTCGCGAGCTAGCTTGAAGGCTACAGAGTTAGCATAGCCGTTTCTATCCAAAAACATGTTTGCGTTTCTGACTGATTTAATGCTTTTAATAAAAACACAGATGTAATGCCCGTGGGTGGACACCAAGTGTGATAGAATTTACGTGACATATTTACTTGCATTTTCAGAGACTAATCCGTAAGCATTTGTTAAGCAGGCTAAATTCTGTTAGCAAGCGAATGGCGCTACAACGCGCTCAGATCAGTTGCTGCAACTTTAAACCAGTTCACCCTCTTCATTTACAATCTTTGTGTGCAGTCTTTTACAGTTGAATAATCAAATGTAATAATGCTGCTTTTAATAATATAAAAAAATATTAATGTTACTAGATAGAAAACACTTGGATGCAAATCTTTATATCAGTGGTAGAATTTTATTATAGTCCATTGTGCATAACTTTAGCTCAAATCTGGTTATTCCAAATTTGTTTAAACAAAAAAATATTTTTGAATGTTAAAATCTTCTGCGTGCCATATGTTTAACAGCTGCACTGTCATACATTTATGCAAAGCACAGTATGATCTGAATCATTGACCAGAAGCTCCCATAATCATCTGAATGGTCATGCGTTCTTGTGTGAAGGCAATAGAAGATGAAGGTGGAGATCCAGACAACATTGAGATCACAGCATCAGCTGACACACCCACCAGAAAACACAGCAAATCTAAAGGTAAACCCTCACTCTCAGAACTCTTTTACTTCCCCACGTCTTTTTCAAAAGTTGACCAAACAGCTTTATTGCACATCCTCAGGAAAGAAGACTGACCTGGATGCTGACACCATCATGGAAGAGGAATCCTTCTCTAAGGTATGGAGAGGAATTATTGCAATGTGTTGGTTTCATTGAAACTGGACTAATGAAAGATTAAGATGTTAGGATGAATGTTAGGTACCATTTTATAAAAACAATAAAAATCAGCAAAAATACTGCATTAGGCCAATATAATTCTTAACAGACTTCTATATCATTTGATAAATTAAGTCTTCATATTTGAATTTATATGAACCGTATATTAAAGTATTATATAATGTTTGTTTCATTCATTAAAGATGTAGTGGTACATAGCCTAACTATCTTCTTAAGTTGAAATGTTAGTACATTGGCAATGAATATAAAATCAACTAGGCTATACATTTTAAAAAGTGTCAAATTAATTGAAGTGATTATGCACTGTCATATTGTAATGAGAAGTCACAAGTATAACATGCGCTGATATCTATTAAGTGACGTGACATGTGGCCAAGTATGGTGACCCATACTTGGAATTAGTGCTCTGCATTTATCCCATCCAAAGTGCACACACACCGTGAACACACACCCGGAGCAGTGGGCAGCCATTTATGCTGCGGCACCCGGGGAGCAGTTGGGGGTTCGGTGCCTTGCTCAAGGGCACCTCAGTCGTGGTATAGAAGGTGGGAGAGAGCGCTGTACATTCACTCCCCCCACCTACAATCCCTGCCGGTACGAGACTTGAACCATTGGGGTTACGAGTCCAACTCTCTAACCATTAGGCCACGACTTCCCCATCTGAACTGTTTTTTAATATGCACTACTGATCAAAATGTTGCAAACTATACTATATGGACAAAAGTATTGGGACATACCTCTAAATGATGGAATTTAGGTGTTTCAATCAGACCCATTGCCACGGGTGTTTAAAATCAAGCACCTAGCCATGCAGTCTGCATTTACAAACATTTTTGAAAAAAATGGGTAGTTCTGAAGAGCTCAGTGAATTCAAGTGTGGTACTGTGAGCAGTTCGTGAAATTTCATCTCTGCTAGATATTCCACAGTGAACTTAAGTGGTATTTTTGCAAAAAGTAAAAGACCATGTAAAGATACTGAGTGCTGAGGTGCATGATGCATAAAAGTTGCCAACACTCTGCTGATTCCATGGCTGAAGAGTTCCAAACATCCACCGGCATTAATATCATCACAAAAACTGTACATTGCCAAGTACAATGTCAAGTATCAAATGGAGTGGTGTAAAGCACACTGCCACTGGACTCTGCAGCAGTGAAAACGAGTTCTGTGGCGTGACGAATCACTCTTCTCTGTTTGAGTCTGTCAGTCTGATGGGTGAGTCTGGGTTTGGCGGATACTGGGAGAATGTTACCTGCCTGACTGCATTGTGCCAAATGTAAAGTTTTGTGGAGGAATGATAATGATATGGGGCCATTTTTCAGAGGTTGGGATAAGCTCCTTATTTCCAATGAAGAGAAATCTTATTGCATCAGCATACCAGGATGTTTTGGACAACGCTATGCTTCCAATAGGGGTGCTCCGATTAGGATTTTTCAGGCCAATCACTGAAAGCAGTATCTGCCGATACCAATCACCGATCTTTTTAAAGCCTTTTTTTCATTTATAACTATTTATAGTGATACTCCAATCAGGATTTTTAGACATTTATTCAGGACCTGAATTTCATTTTTGAAAATGGGAGGAATTCCCCTCTTAGATGACTCTTGTGAGAGGTGAAGCAGCTTGCACACAGGAGTCTGCTACTGATCCATGGCTGTTTACCACAAACACAACATTTATCCATTATTTTGATTTCAAATCCAACATTGTCACTGAAAATGCTTTTTCAGCATTGCACTTCTTTTTGTTTTTTACACAATACAATCTTTCACAGACAAGTTTAAACACAATAAATATAAGCAACACATTATTCAATGGTTTTTACTTTTGCATTTACTTCTAGATTTATATATTAAGTTGCTCAAGCAAGTGGCAAAACATTTAAACTACTTTTCTTACGTTATCACAAACTTACCATTGACAGAAATAGTCAGCTCTACTGCCTTTCCTTTTGCATTTAAATCTTTATTACAAGCAATCCTGCGGTTCATAAAGAGCTTTGTTTTCCTACCTCCACGAGTGCCATCTATTATTGCCTTTATTATATAAAAGTGCTCTTTTCCTTTAAACCTAGCCAAAAAGCCATACGTGTTGACTGTGAAACACAGTAGACTTTAATAATATGCCTTTTACGGTGTAATTACTACATTTTCGTGTCAATCCGTGTTCATATTTACCGCAAACAATGCGCTGTTACTTTAATTCAGCGCGTGCAGCGGAAACTATCTCTGCACTGCTGCAGACGCACCGCTCCTGAACGCACTGCCGGACCGCAGCCATGTGCATTGTGAACGCTTTAATCCGTTAACATGAGCGCGCAAAAAATAAGCACCGCATACGCTCTGCAAATGGAGTAATGTGAACCTAGCATTATGTGTGTGTGCTGCGAATGTGCATGAGCGCACTGTCTCCAGGAGAGCGCGCGAGCGCTGAATGGTTAAACACTGGCGAAAAATAATGTGTTTTTTTAACATTAAAGCATGTCAACATATTCTGTTACACCAAATACACAAAATAATGATCTTTAAAAAAAGCATCATATGACCCCTTTAGTGCGATTTATAAACTTTAGTGACGATGTGATTCCTGACAATTCCTGTGTCAACTGTGCAGCTTGCTTATAGACAGACACGATATGTGGTGATTTGAAGCCATTTGCGCATTTTGAGAGGGAGAGAGAGAGAGAGCGCTCGCGGTGATTCACTCACGCTGTTTGTGAAATTACTTGTCACACAAGGTTTTCAAATTACTTTATAAATTATTTAATGAAGAAATATGAAGGCGAGTACCTCACCTTCAGCATTATAATTATTTCACCCGTGCCGGACAGAGACTGAGATGGTGCCGCTGCATGTCATGCCAAACCTCTCACGGCAGCATCATCAGCTTGAGATCGTTTTTTTGAGATCGGCCTTTTAGAGACCGCCGATCAAACATCCCAACGTGATTATCGGCCGATAGTGATCGGTAGCCGATCAATCGGAGCACCCCTAGCTTCCAATTTTGTGGAAACAGTTTGGGGAAGGCCCTTTTCTATTTCCCAGCATGACCGTGCCACAGTGCACAAAGCAAGGTCCATAAAGACATGAGTTTGGTCTGGAAAAACTCGACTGAGCCGCACAGAGCCCTGTCCTCAACCCCATTGAACAGCTCCATATTGATGTCTATGTATTTAGAGTGTAATGACATTAAAGTCCCTGTTGGTGTAATGGTCAGATGCCTCAATACATTTGTCTTTATAGTGTTTTTCTGTTTCAAATAAACACTGTTCTTTTGAACTTTATATTCACCAAAGAATCCTGAAAGCAATTGAATCACAGTTTCCACAAAAATATTATGCAGCATAACCGTTTTCAGCTGTGGTAATAAGAAATTTCCCAAATCAAAGAATTTCCCAAATCACCAAACCAACATATCTTAAATTGTAATATTTCACATTATTACTGTTTCTTACTTGTTTTAAGTTAATATTTCTGCAAATACCATTTGTGACCTACCCAAAATTTCAAAAGGAGAATATAAAGATGTAAGAATATTGACTGCCATTTGTTTTATTGTAGAGATGCACTGATTGCAATTTTCTTGGCCGATTCCGATTTCCGATTTTTTGTTAGTGTGATCTGCCGATTCCGATTTTCTTTCTAAGAACTATAATTGACAGCATATACAAACAAAAATCTACTTTTCTTCAATGCAAAGTTTTATTTTCATAAAAAAACACAAGTAAAAAGTCAGTAATAAAATAAGAACAAATAAAAAAATGGCAAACAACAGCACAAATAAATGCAATACAATAAAGAGAGCTATGAAACTAAGTTTTTCAGGTTAAGTAAGTTTTTATTCAGGTAAATACTACAGAAATTAAAGTAATCAAATGTAAAATAACACATTCAGTGTTATTTTACATTTGATTTTAATTTCTCTAGTCTTCATTGTAAAAATTAAATGCAGGTTAATGCTTACCATTAAAGTTATAAAACGTATTCAGTCAAGAGCAGAAAGTGATTTTCTTTGTCTTTTGTTCTTTGATTACCATGACAGACAGCAGAAGGAATATTGGAATGCGGTCCCTTTAAGAGTTTATCCACGGACCCAATATACTGTTACACGACATGCGTTCTCTTTCAACTATTTAACGTTCCAAAACTGACTGTGTTTAACTGGATACTCGCCAAGACGGGCATTTTGACAATTTTTTATGTATTTGACTGTTTTAGCACAGTTAGCCACTCATTTTGATATTTGTGGCTCACAAGCTGTTTGAGACTGAGTGCGGCTTGTGCACTCCACTAATATAAATCAGTGGTAGTGCAATCGCGAAACCTGCGGGAATGACTAAAATAATGCGCAATACAAGCAAAATGAATGTCAATCAATATTCTAAGTATCAATAATGATCCCCCAGTTCTTTATTAACATTAGAAATTAAATTCATATATAATTTGTTTGTTTTCTTTTCAGGAGACTGAGGAAGAGGAATCTGAAAAAGGTATGTCTGGTTACTTATTGGGGTGGAGATATCAAATTTGTTTACAGGTTTCAGACGGTTGGACTTCTCTTGCTTCCTTTTTCTTTTGCTGTTTTTCAATTGCAACGTTCTAGTCAGACACATTAAAAGCGGGTCTTGCAACAAATCACAGACATTAAAACGTCCCATCCGGAACATGTGCTGCATCAAAGGACAGATAACACTTCTTCATTTGTGTTAACATCAGTGATCCTCCTAATCTCATCATCTAATTCGTTCAAGAGCACATTACCCTGCCACCACATTTCATCAGCAAGAGGAGATCTTTCACCTACTCGATCTCAGTGAGTTTCCTCTGTTCAGAACATCACCCAAGCTTCAGCAGGCCGCCTCTTTCTTTCTGTTGAGACAGGACTACCTCCTGAAATGGAGACGGCAACAGGCTACATGCCTTTGTTGACTGGTCAGAACATGACATATGAACCTCGTTCTCCAAAGTCTTGACACTTCTTTGTGACTGCAATATAGCCGACATGGCTTAAGTGGACATCAACGTCACTGCTTGTGCTTTGAACACATTCAAGTGTGGACATCCATTTTTAGCCGTGTTACTGGACAGAGTACTGTGAACAAGGCTAGATTTCCTCCAACGGATCAGAGAAGATTTGGCACCCTGTTTTTGATTTGCCTCCATCAGCTGTAAAACGAGATGGATGGTCAGCGGAAGTGTCTGAAAGAAGACTCTCGATGTGACCACAAGAAGCTGAGTGACATCTGGCAGGAGGAATCATATTATGGAATAGATTTGAGGTTTCACTCAGACTTGAATGCATGTCTGTAAAGCAGAGAAGTGTGTCGATGTCACCCAGTTGTGGAACCTTCAAAATGTGGACCAAGATAGTGATGTTCATCGTAATGAGAAGATTTGTTCAACCTCTTCGTTGTTCTCTAAGGAATGTGTTTTTATGTATACCTGTGGTTTCCTCACCCACGATGACCACTAACATTAAACTTGCTCTTTGTTGTACTTTTTAGGTCACGTAGCACAGAGATTTGAATGTTAAACAATGTGTTTTTTGCCATGTTTTATGCTTGTTAAATCCCTCAGATGTAACTGATACTGATGATGCTACTCGTGACAATTCTAAAACCTTCTCCTGTGAAGACGGCCTTGCAGAGCCCGAGGCTGAGGTAGGAGTGGAGCCTGATCTTGAGGCAGAAGCAGAACCAGAGCCCGATCCTGATGCGGAGATTGAGGCTGAGAGAGAAGCAGAGTCTGAAATCCCAGCAATGGAGGCCTTGGAGAGCGACCCTGCTCCTGAACCCATAAAAGAAGTTGAGGATGACAATATATCTGTCACCATCCAGGCCGAAGATGCCATCACACTGGATGTAGATGGCGACGATCTCCTGGAAACAGGTAAACATGTGAAACTTCCAGATTCTGAGGCAGACAAGGGCTGCGAAGAGCCTGAGGCCACTGCTGAGATGGGGCAGGAGACAGACTTGCTGACTGAAGCGATAGATGGCCACAAGGATGGTAAGAGGGATGACGGGCTGATGTCTGACGCCGCCAAGAAGGACAGCAGAGAGGCCTCGAAGAAAGGAGAAACGGGAGACAAGGAAAAGGATTCTGGGAAGAAAGGCCCCTCTTCAACTGGGGTGACAGGTCAAGCAAAGAGGTTTGTCTTTCTATGTCAGTTCTGACAATTCTAAAACCTTCTCCTGTGAAGACGGCCTTGCAGAGCCCGAGGCTGAGGTAGGAGTGGAGCCTGATCTTGAGGCTGAAGCAGAAGCAGAACCCGAACCCGAGCCCGATCCTGATGCCGAGATTGAGGCTGAGAGAGAAGCCGAGCCTGAAGTCCCAGCGATGGAAGCCTTGGAGAGCGAACCTGCTCCTGAACCCATAAAAGAAGTTGAGGATGACAATATATCTGTCACCATCCAGGCCGAAGATGCCATCACACTGGATGTAGATGGCGACGATCTCCTGGAAACAGGTAAACATGTGAAACTTCCAGATTCTGAGGCAGACAAGGGCTGCGAAGAGCCTGAGGCCACTGCTGAGATGGGGCAGGAGACAGACTTGCTGACTGAAGCGATAGATGGCCACAAGGATGGTAAGAGGGATGACGGGCTGATGTCTGACGCCGCCAAGAAGGACAGCAGAGAGGCCTCGAAGAAAGGAGAAACGGGAGACAAGGAAAAGGATTCTGGGAAGAAAGGCCCCTCTTCAACTGGGGTGACAGGTCAAGCAAAGAGGTTTGTCTTTCTATGTCAGTTCTTTAAGATACTACTACCAAGTTCCAGCTCACTAAGAACTCAGCATTGTGGGTAGCTGCAAGAATTTTTTCATAAGTTGTTCATTGTACCTAATCCTTGCCTTTGGTTTTGCTCTTTTGGTTTGGTTTGCCTTTTTTTTTTTCGAGTTTGGTAATTGGTGGAGTTAAACAAGGAGCTGAAAACACGTCTGTTACGCACACATTTCCAGCACTTGCTTTTCCAGTCCCTACTTATGGGTTAAAAAAAAGAGCAATAGTTCCAGTGATGTCAGAGGGGTTTGTCAGTCCAGTCAAGTGATCCTCTCTGAAGTTGAACACCCTCCTGAGGATGTCATTGGTCAAGGGAATAAATTGGCAGAAAACCTGACCCACCTTGCTCCTGTGGAAAAGCAAGAGAAAGAAGCCTTATTGGAGTTTGTCCGAGTGCAAGCCTTGCCTATGGGGATTTTTGTTGTTGTTCTTTTGTTCTTTTTCTTTTTCTGTAATGCACCAAACATTTGTATAACCTTTTGTTGTTTGTTTGGAGATGTACCTCGATGCCCACAGTCTTCTCTCATGCTCTGATACTTAAAGTATTTCTCTCTTTTTGTCACTCTTGTAATATTTACGTTTTAGCTCTTCAAAAGACAGAGATGGAAAGACTACAAAAGATGAAAAGGGTATGACTTTCCTTGGAATATTAGACTTATAGTTTACCATTAAGTTTATACACTTCAGCTGGTCTAAGTGATAAAACACCGGTATTATTTAATAAACATATAAAAAAAAATCTGAAATTAGAAGACAACTAGAAGCTTAAAGCTGTAGTCCGTAACTTTTTTTGGTTTTGGTTAAAAATGATCCAAAATCAATATTTGAGCAAGTACATAACCAGCCAGTGTTCAAAACTATCGCCTTCAGCTCGATTCACAACGGTTAGCTTATAATAATGTTTTCAATTTGAGTGGTACGTGTAGGTTTTCGCGGGAAATTCGAGCATGCTGCTGCGTCATTACGTCACGTCTTTAAACATAAAGAAATTGTCCCGGCTACTAGGCTATCGCATGTGAGGATCCTGCAGGTGGCGCATCGTTTATAGCCTTTTCTCACAGCAGCTGGAATAATTAAATGTATCATTTTGATGGCGGGTTATAATCCATAAAGGATTGTGTTTATGAAACACATGTGAGTGAAATAAAATTATATTCCAGTTATAAATGTGCTTCTGATTACGGATAGCCTGGGATTACAAAGATTTGTATTTTAAAGAAAACCAGTTCGAAGGGAGCATTATAATAATGTTTTCTAATTTGAGTGGTACGGGTAGGTTTTCGCGGGAAATTCGAGCATGGCACTGCGTCATTACGTCACGTCTGTAAATATAAAGAAGTTGTCCCGGCTACTAGGCTATCGCATGTGAGGATCCTGCAGGTGGCGCATCGTTTATAGCCTTTTCTCACAGCAGCTGGAATAATTAAATGTATCATTTTGATGGCGGGTTATAATCCATAAAGGATTGTGTTTATGAAACACATGTGAGTGAAATAAAATTATATTCCAGTTATAAATGTGCTTCTGATTACGGATAGCAGAAATTGAAATCTACACGCTAATACACACTATACTCAGTCACCAATGCTGATGTTGTTAACATTAATCATTTGAGAATGAAGTATAACTAATAATAATTTGAAAGGTTTGATGTGATATGAGCTAACCGATCTTTAGATTTAATCTCCATTAGTAGTGAGATTTATTGTAATGCTTTTTCCTCAGTTGGTCAGAACAAACGTGGCAGACTTGTTACTTACTTGTTCAGATGGCAATATACGGTAAAAATTCTTATTTGGGTCATATTCCAAGACGTAGGCTAGAATCTGTGATTGCAAAGTACAGTAAATATCCACACCGGTGCGGTGACTGACTGCCACACATACTCTTCAGAACATTAGATTCATCAGTGCTGGAGCCGTGCCGACTCACAACCCACGCAAACTAGATAATTCAGAACACAGCTGCAATTCCAGGTTTTCAAACAGAGATGGCGACAGAGGCAAAACTTACAGACTGCAGCTTTAATTATTTGAAAACTTATTTTGCTCTGATGCTTTAATCAAGTTGTCATTAAAGTAGAGCGTCTTCTAAAGCCTGTTATCTGATTTCAGGAAGTGGCAGCAGCAGTCCCAGCTCTACTCGCAATCTGTGGGTGAGCGGCCTGTCGTCCAACACCAAAGCAGCTGATCTCAAGAACCTCTTTGGCAAATATGGAAAGGTGAAGGCTCTTTATATGTGACCGATAGGCACAAGCTTATAATTAACATGTTTGTTATTAGGGATTGTGATGTTGACTGCATTTTCAAAATGTTTTTTTTGTATTTTTTATAAATACTGTTTCAAAATAGGTTTTTAGTGCCAAAGTGGTCACCAATGCTCGTAGCCCAGGAGCCAAGTGTTATGGATTAGTTACCATGTCATCCAGCGCAGAAGTGGCCAGGTCCATCTCTCATTTGGACCGCACAGAACTCCATGGACAACAGATATCTGTGGACAGGGTAAGAACTTTACCACTGTGCTATAAGAGTGGGATATTCAAATTATTTAAGCACTTTTTATGGGCTTTTTATGCTACAGAATCAACACTGTGTGCTTGAAAGTACTTTAACTCTGGTCTCGTGGTAACATCTTCATAGGTGAAAACTGACCCGTTCAAAAAGGACTTCTCAAAGAAAGAGGGAGAAGAGAAGGCAAGTTCCATTAAAATTTCTGGAGAAAAGCGCACTCCAACTGGAGCAAAAACCTCTAGCAAGTAAGAGTTCGTCCAGTTTGAATCTCTTTCCATTATTTTAAAGAGGAGGAGTGTCAGTTGCATTGGTTATTCCTTCCTTTGTGTTCAATAGGACACCAGTTTCATCTAAGAAGGAGGAGAAGAAATCAGACAAACCGTCTGAGAAGGACAGCAAAGACGTCAAAAAACAGGACTCCAAAACCAACAAATCTGAATCTTCCAGTTCAGCAGCTGACGCAGCAAAGAAAGATGACAAGAAACATGGACGTATGTTACGGTTTGATTGTATTCACCTACTGAGGAAGTTTAAAAAATGTGCAACTTTATAGTTATGCTTTTAATGTCTTCCAATCCACAGGAAAGAGTCCAGGCAATATGATGGTGAACGACAAAGCTAAAGGAGAGCAAAACTTCAATAAATCTCGTCCCCCTTTCAGAAGGGGTGGGAGGTTTGAGAAGGTACTACAGACATCCTCAGTATGCACTGTATTTTCATGTAAAGAGGTTTTTATGAAGGCCAAGTTATCTGATTGTCTTATTTCTTTACAGCCTGGTCCACCCAACATGATGAACAGACGCCCCAGAGGATTCATACCACCTGAGGAGGTTGGTTAACTCTTTTCTGAGAAGACATAAATAGTTAACTTTGAAAACATGATCTGAATTAGTAAGACCATATACAATTTCTTTAGTATTTTGTTTGACTTGTTTTTTTTGTAACATACTTGCAGATGGACAAAGGCCGTCCGATGCTTAACAAAGGTGGCAACAAAGATATCCTTCCGTTTGAGAAGTTGAAGGAACAGAGGATGCGTGAGCGCATGGTCAGGATGGAACACGTTCGCAGGGCTATGGAACTGCGCAGGTAGACATACTTTCCTTTTCATTTGCAAATAAATCGGCAAAGTGCTTAAGCTGCATTTTGTAATGCTGTTTTGTTGTGATGTCCAGACGGCGTGAGGTAGCAGAAAGAGAGCGCCGGGAGAGGGAACGCATCCGTATTATGCGTGAGCGTGAGGAGAGGGAGAACCTGATGAGAGAGCGGCAAAGGCTGGAGGTGGAAAGGCAGAAACTCGAACGCGAGCGCATGGAGAGAGAGAGACTGGAACGGGAGCGGATCCGTATAGAGCAGGTACAGCCACGATACACCTGCCTGTGGAAACTTGAAGCTGGGATTTTGTCTTTACATTGATGTGCTGAAAATTTGTGTGTGCAGGAGCGACGCAAGGAAGCGGAGCGTTTGGCTCGTGAACGTGAGGAGCTGAGGCGGCAACAGGAGCAGTTGCGTTACGAGCAGGAGAAACGAAACAACTTAAAGAGGGGACGTGACGTTGATCAAAGGTGTGTGAACAATACTGTTATTCATTTTTAGGGTCTAGTGGTCTCTAAGGTTCAAAATGGTCAATGTTGTTGTTGTTTTTTTCTCTGTCTGTGCAGGAGGGAAGATCCGTACTGGAATAGTGGTAAAAAGATGCAGACTGAGCCAGAGGGGCGGATCAGTCAAGGCGGAGATTACAACAATCGACAACAGAACCGCTTTAATGATTTCAACCCTAGGGACCGGAACCGATACCAACAGACATCAGCTGTGCAGTCCAACAACTTTGATAGGTAGGCATTCATGAACAAGAATGCAATTCCCAAACACAATAGGACAGGAAGACCAATCCACAGCCGAAGATTTTTGCTTCTGTTGAATGTTTTTAGCAGACACTTTTAGTCAAACGAGAATGTGGGAGAACATAATACAAGTAGTGCTGACCTACCAAATTAGCACGCGTTCAAATGTGTGAATCAACAGCAAGTCATGAATTCGTTTTTTTGTTTTTGCAGACGCAACCGATTTGACGGTGAACCTGAATCAAAGAAGAATCGACCTGCTCCTCGCCGTGAAGGTTCTGGGTTTGAGCGCTATCCTAAAAACTTTGAAACTGTGCGGAGAGCAGAACCACCACCTCCACCTCGTGCAGAGCTGCGAGACAGTGATCGCCGAGAGATCCGCGACCGTGATGAGCGCAGACCGGTGTCTATGCCTGATCGACCAGCTGGTGGCAGAGTGCCACCTCCCGCCATTGCCCACTCCCGTACCCCCAGAGATGGCAGCCACACTGGCTGGAAGGCTGATGGGGGAATGAATTCGAAACAAGGAGATGTCAGGTATGGATGAGTTTCTGTATGTGCTTCCTCTTCTCTAGCAGGGTGTCCGCGGGTCCTTAAAAAGTCTTATCTTTCACTGCATGATTCAGTCTATTAAAATACATTCAGAATGATCACAAATTCAAGACATGGGGCAGACAATGTGTATATTTATACCACTTCATATAATTAATCAATTTCACACGGAAGAGTGCCTTTTTTTCCTCCAAAAATTACCATATACAAATGTAATATTGATTTTTTTTTTACAACAGTTCAATAAACCTAGATGTTTTATTAAGAGACTTACGTTTTAGACCCCATATTGCCTGTTTTTGCACTTTCGCCAACAAAAATAATTCCAAACACAGCCACAGCGCTGTTTTGCGTTTGAGCAACATGACAGTGCTTGATAGTTCCTGAATGAATCAAATAGTGCGCGTGCGCATTTACAGTACGCTCTTTCACTGCATGATTCAATCTATTAAAATACATTCAGAATAATCGCAAATTCAAGATATGGGGGCAGAAAATATGTATTTATACCACTTCTTATAGTTAATCAATTTCACATGGAAGGGTGCCTTTTTTTCTCCAAAAATTACCATTGAATGAATGACTCAATGACTCACTCATCAAGTGACTTACCGCCACTTACTGGTAGTTTAGTTGAGAAGTATGTTGAAAAGTATGCATTTTCCCCCTCAACATTTCTTATTTGTATATTCATAAATGCATTTAAAACATTAATCTCATAACATTATTTATTGCAGTTGTAATTATTGTTATTTGCAGTGTAAATTATTTAATCTGACTGGTAGCAGCCCAATAGTGTATATTGAATTTATTGATAAATTGTAATAATTTGACATGAAAGATGGTGCATCCATCTAAAAAGGTTAAAAATAGGCCTTTGTAAACGTAAATAAAAATATGCAGATTTAAGTGTGTAAAAGCTGATAGAACACTGATGACAATATTGCTTCAGAATAAATTGTTTACTCCACCAAAAATCTCAGTGATGCAGTTATTTTGCAGGGATATTTTGTATGGAATATTGTCTGCTGACATAAAGGTTCACTGTATATCGTAGTAAAAAATATAATTTATTACAGCAATGATATTTTGTTTTCTTTAATTTAAACATTAAATATTACATATGTATGTAATAAACTTATTTCCATTTACAGGTTTAGGTCTTAAATTTCATATAAGGTGGTATTAAAAAGGTCTTAAGTCTTAAATTTAACTTGTTCATGTCTGTAGAAACCCTGTCTAGGGTGGAAAATCGAGGTTTGGTTCTTATTCATTACCTGTTCAAAAATTCAAGTGACTGTAATATTGACATTGACATTTCATTACATTAGCAGTTCATGAACATCTGTTTTCTTCCACCAATGTGGACAAGATCAGTACTATGACAGCAGTTAAATCTTTTTGTTTTTCTTTTTTTTTTTAATTAAAAGGGTAGTTCACCCAAAAATGAAAATTGGCAACTACTCACCCTCAAGTTGTTCCAAACCTGTATAAAATTTTTTCTTCTGCTGAACACAAAAAGATAATTTTGAAGAACGTTGGTAATCAAACATTTGTTGGTCCCCATTGGCTTTCATATTATTTTTTCCCCATACTATAGAAGTCAATGGGGACCAGGTATTTTAATTTTCAAAAAAACTTTTGAATCAGTCTTGGACTCAACAGTTATTATTTTCAATTTATTAATTGAGCTAGTGAGTTTGACCAGTTTTTGGCATAAACCACTGGTCATTATTTTTTGTGATGTCTTTAAATAAACCAAGAACTTTTGCCCTGTGTGTGTTTGACCGGTTTATTTCATTGTAGTGTCTAGAACACTACCAAATACTAATATTTCAGGCTTGGCTTTCCTTGAGCTGCTGGTAATCAGTGATTGCTGCTGACTGTATTACAGAGCAGCACGGATGCGTCCAGAGCGTCCAGGCAGAGAGGGTCCCGGACCTGCCATGAGAGGGGTGCCCACAGCTAGCCGTGGCAGAACCAGCTTCAACAGCCGAGACAGTGGCAGACCTGTGGTCATGGGGGAGCAGGTAAAGTACATAACATGCCCGTGACACTTTCTTTTTGTTGCAAGTTATAACATTTAACACCATATATTCTCCCCCTTATCACAGCAGCACTTTGGCAGTGGCAGACAGGTGGTGGTGGAGCGGCATGGACGCGATCAGGGCCCCAGGAAAGACTGGCACGGGGCAGCAGGCTCACAAAGCGGAGGATTCACAGATAACCACCGAATGGGGGACAGTCGACCCGGCATGATGGCACCACACTCCAGGTTTGTTTTGATCATTCTCACGCAATCTTACAATTCAGCTATGTGTATTATGCCAGTTTCACATTGCAAGCATCAGCAGAGCATGAGCAGCGCAGTTTTGTCACTGCCCAGGTTAATGAATGAGTGGGTTGGCTATCAGGCTTATGTTGTGAACTTGCATTCATTAAAATGTGAAACATGCACTAAACCAAAGACTAGGGACTTTGGTTAAACCTTTGATGGTATGATCATCACATATGCAAGATTCAATTCTGTGTTCGTACTGCCGTTGATCCAGAGAGTGCAGCTGCGGTGTAAATATAAAATATGATACTGCTTCACAAACAATCTTTCCATCCACACATTATTGTTATTGCTGTGTACAAACATTTAAATAACCGAAGTAGTGGGATAAACGTATATAGTTTGGCTATAAACACTGATGTCTACGGTAGCGATCAAAATAGAGTAAATCACCTTTTGAAATTTTGACACTTGTATGTATTTTATCAATTATTTTGTTATGCCAGGAGGTGGTGACAAGGACTGTTAAAAAAAAAACTCATTGAATCATTAATTCAAGAGATTTGTTCACAAATGCTCATCCAATAACAAAACAAGTCTTCATGAATAAGACCTTGACTCCTTAATTCAAATTATTATTCGTAATTATTTTATTCAAATAAATATTTGTTTTAAATTGACAATGTTCATTGCTTCAGTCTATCCCTCTACTAATTGGAATGTTTTGTTTAGTTGTCTAATATTTTTTTCTTCAGAATCATTATTTCAATTTATCAAGACTAGGGTTGCAAAATTCTGGGAATTTTCAAGACTGGAAATTTTCCATGGGAATTAATGGGAATAAACTGGAAATGTGCAGAATTCCAGGAACTGGGGACTTAAATGTAGTTGAGAAAAACAACCAGATTTAATGCAATTTCAGTTTCATTTCTACCCTACACACTGCTCAATCACATGCACACAGCACACTGCTTGCTGCAGGGCTATTGAGGCCACACCCCCTACATGCACTGTGCTTTCCTCCATAACATCAAAAGATGTAAATTACATGAATATTACAAAAAATTGTTTAAAAGTTCCTTGTGCTGTGTGTAATATACTGTGCAAGTAAATTAGGCTATACCATTGTAAAAACAAATACACTGACTGAACAAACATTTAGGTGAGATAATAATAAACAAATGACCCTCCACCACACACAATCCCCTCTAGTCACCTAAGAGGGGGATTCCCCTGCATTTTCTCTGAGCCACACTTGCTGCATTTGAGCCCAAAGACTTCATTTAAGTTTTGATATTCTAAATATATTTGATCTATGGGATTCAAGTTTAACTAATAAATACCAAAAAGTGTTTATACAGTAGCTAGCTAGCCAGTAAATCAAGATATGAAAAATCTAAGCGAGTTAGCACTATTTCATTGACAATATATGAAGTATGTGCTAGCTAGCTCAAGCTGAGATGCTCTTTCTGCTAGCCAGCTTTCTGTTATCATACAGAAGTACAGTTCTGGTCAGAAGTTTGGACACATTACTATTTTAATGTTTTTAAACATTGCATATCTTTTGCTCATCAAGCCTTCATTTATTTGGAAAAAAAAACTGAACAAAACAGTAATATCACGCAGTATTACGATTTAAAATAATAGTTTTCTGTTTTAATATACTTTAAAATATAATGTATTTCTGTGATGCAAAGCATGAACATTTGAACATCATTACTCCAGTCTTCAGTGTTACATGGTTCTTCAGAAATCATTCTAATATGCTTATTTATTATCAATTTTAGAAACAGTTGTGCTGCTTTATTTTTTTTTATTACCTGTGATTCTTTTTTTAGGATTCTTTGATGAATTAAGAGTTTAAAAAAGAACAGCATTTATTTAAAATACCTGTAGAAATCCTTTTTTAACAATACACTACCATTCAAAAGTTTGGGGTCAGTATCTTT